AGTTGCCCGGAGAAGGTGGGCATTTCTCGGCTTTGCCAGCCCCTCTCCTGTCTCCCCCGCCCCTGGTCTCCCCCTCCCTCCTGCCCCGCACCCCACGTGAGGCGGAATATAAAGGGGGGTGTGAGGCTAGAGGGGAAAGTGAATGGTGAAGGACTGAGGGGGTCCCCCCTTCGGGTCCCCGCCCGCCCTGTTCACCCTCGTTCATCCTCCCTTCCGAAGCTCGCCCTCGAAGGCAGGAGCGGCCGGCGCCTGCGGCGGAGGAGGAGGAGGAGGAGAAGGAGGGATCACGCCGGGCGGAGCGTCGGGCCCGCTTTCCTTCCCGGCGTCTTGAATACAAAGATTACCGTGCAGAAGGAAATTGCACTCGCCTCCTCCGCCCCCCGTACCCGACACAATGCATCAGCCGCCTGAGTCCGCCGCCGCCGCGGCCGCTGCAGACATGAGTGCTAGGAAGATGGCGCACCCGGCAATGTTCCCTAGAAGGGGCAGCGGCAGCGGCAGCGCCTCTGCCCTCAATGCAGCAGGTACCGGCGTTGGTAGTCATGCCACATCTTCCGAGGATTTTCCGCCCCCGTCGCTGCTCCAGCCGCCACCTCCTGCCGCATCTTGTGCGTTGGGACCACAGCCTCCGCCTCCACAAAGCCTGAACCTCCTTTCGCAGGCTCAGCTACAGACACAGCCTCTTGCACCAGGCGGAACTCAGATGAAAAAGAAAAGTGGCTTCCAGATCACTAGCGTGACCCCGGCTCAGATCTCTGCCAGCATCAGCTCTAACAACAGTATAGCGGAGGACACTGAGAGCTATGACGATTTGGATGAGTCTCACACGGAAGATCTGTCGTCTTCCGAGATCCTTGATGTGTCCCTTTCCAGGGCTACTGACTTAGGAGAACCTGAACGTAGCTCCTCAGAAGAGACACTAAATAACTTCCAGGAAGCTGAGACACCTGGGGCAGTCTCTCCCAACCAGCCCCACCTTCCTCAGCCTCATTTGCCTCACCTTCCACAACAAAATGTTGTCATCAACGGGAATGCTCATCCACACCACCTCCATCACCACCATCACGTTCATCATGGGCACCACCTCCACCATGGGCACCACCATCCTTCCCATGCTGGTGTGGCCAGTACATCCATTCCTGGAGGGCCACCCTCAAGCCCACTCTCCAGAAAACTCTCTACAGCTGGGAGCTCTGACAGTGTTATACCAGCTGCACCAACTTCTGCTGTATCATCGGGTGGCTCACCTGCATCCGTAATGACTAATATCCATGCTCCCAGTACTACCGGCAGTATAGGTATAAATTCTGTTGCTGGCACTAATGCAGTGAATAATGTTAACATTACTGCTGTGGGTAGTTTTAATCCTAATGTGACAAGCAGCGTGCTTGATAATGCTAATATAAATACAAGCAATATTCCTAGTGCTGCTAGCGGGAGTGTTGGGCCTGGAGTTAACAGCAGTGTTAATGTGAATATCTTAAGTGGCATGGGCAATGGTACTATTTCTTCCTCGGCTGTTGTTAACAGTGTCCCTAATGCAGCTGCAGGGATGACTGTGGGATCAATTTCAAGTCAGCAGCAACAACCAACAGTTAACACTTCAAGGTTCAGAGTTGTGAAGTTAGATGCTAGTTCTGAACCCTTTAAGAAAGGTAGATGGACTTGCACTGAGTTCTATGAGAAAGAAAGTGCTGTACCTGTTACAGAAGGTGTGGTTATAAATAAAGTGGTGGAAACTGTAAAACAAAACCCAATAGAAGTGACTTCTGAGAGGGAGAGCACTAGTGGGAGTTCCGTGAGCAGTAGTGTCAGCACACTGAGTCACTACACAGAGAGTGTGGGAAGTGGAGAGATGGGAGCCCCTACTGTGGTGGTGCAGCAGCAGCAGCAGCAGCAGCAGCCACAACCAGCTCTTCAAGGTGTGGCCCTTCAGCAGATGGATTTCAGTAGCACTGGTCCACAGAGTGTTCCGGCAGTTAGTATATCACAGACTGTTTCTCAGTCACAGATCTCACAAGTACAATTACAGCCTCAAGAACTGAGCTATCAACAAAAGCAAGGTGTTCAACCAGTACCTCTACAAGCCACTATCAATGCTGCAACTGGTGTCCAACCATCACCTGTTAATGTTGTTGGGGTAACTTCAGCTTTAGGTCAGCAGCCTTCCATTTCTAGTTTGGCTCAACCCCAACTGCCATATTCTCAGACGGCTCCTCCTGTGCAAGCTCCCCTTCCAGGGGCACCACCCCAGCAGTTACAATATGGACAACAATCGATTGTTTCCACACAGATGGCCCCAGGTCATGGTAAACCAGTGACTCAAATTCCTACTTCAGAGTATGTACAGCAGCAGCCGATTCTTCAAACAGCAGTGCCCTCTGGTCAGCCCAGTTCTGCAGGAGTGGGAGGAGGAACCACGTTGATTCCTATGGTTCAGCCACAGAGTATCCAGTTGCCAGTGCAGCCCCCAGCAGTCCAAGCACAACCTGCAGGGGCATCTGGCCAGCCTGTTGGCCAGGTTCAAACAGCAGTATCTGCTGTACCTACTGGCAGTCAAGTTGCAAATATTGTTCAACAAGCAAATGTACCCACTGCAATGCAGCAGGTCTCTTCCCAAGTCACACCTTCAGTTGTTCAGCAAGGTGCTCCTCCATCTTCACAAATAATTCCACCTGCTCAAACTGCGGTTATTCATCAGGGAATTCAAACTAGTGCTTCAAGCCTTCCTCAACAATTGGTCATTGCACCCCAAAGTACATTGTTAACTGTGCCTCCCCAGCCACAAGGAGTAGAATCAGTAGCTCAAGGAGTTGTCTCACAGCAGTTGCCTGCAGTTAGTCCTGTACCCTCTGCTAGTAGTATTTCTGTTACAAATCAGGTTAGTTCAGCTGGTCCTTCTGCAATGCCTTCTGTTCCAACAAACTTGGTTCCACCACAGAATATAGCACAAACCCCTGCCACTCAAAATGGTAGTGTGGTTCAAAGTGTTAGTCAACCTCCCTTGATAGCAACTAATATAAATTTGCCTTTGGCACAACAGATATCACTAAGTTCTCAGTTCTCTGCACAATCATTAGCTCAGGCAATTGGAAGCCAAATTGAAGATGCCAGGCGCCCAGCGGAACCCTCTTTAGTTGGCTTACCTCAGACTATCAGTGGTGACAGTGGGGGAATGTCAGCAGTTTCAGATGGGAGTAGCAGCAGCCTAGCAGCCTCTGCTTCTCTTTTCCCGTTGAAGGTGCTACCGCTGACGACACCCCTGGTGGATGGAGAGGATGAGAGGTAAGATCATGCCCTATTTCTGCAGACATTCAACAGATTCAGAGTTTATTTAGTAGCTATGTATATATATATATGCACAAACTAGTCTAAAGCATTATATATTTTTTCACTTTTGTATGTGAAAATTCATCTTTGTGATGTTTTCTAGAGCAGGAGTGTTATGGAATGGTTTCAGAGTGGATAGGAAATGGTGTAAGTAATATGTAAATATTATTTGAAAGAATAGTTACTGAGCATTAAGAATAGGTTTGGGAGCACTAAGTGGTTTTGTTATTTATAAAATGCTTTTTTAAAGATTAATTTTGAACAGAAACTTAACTTTTGCTAACCCATATAACAATCTATTCTTTTGAATTACTAAAATCCTTACCATCTTCTCTTGGGAGGGGTGTGGTTCCCACATTTGTTCCTCCCTTACTAGACTGGACAATCCTTTTCAGTTCTACTGTGTTTATCGTAGTCTGTGAAAGATACTGTTACCTGCTTTTCCTAGTCAGACATTATAGGAAAGATGACTTGATCTGGGTTATATAGATTGCTTTCATACTGTAATTAACCAACTTTGTGTACTTATTTAATGCTCATTTTGTCTGAACAGTGAAGGAGGAATGGGAATCTTCAAAAGTTTTTTTTTTGGTGCGGGAGGAGGGCATACACTGTCAAAATAACCAGATTTCTTTTTGATGGTTGTATGCTGTACATTTTTGCTTTTGCATAATAGATCAAGGTGGTAGCCATTTTAAGAGTAAAGAAAGTAAGTCTTGGGGGGTTGAATTTATAGAGACATGAGAATAAGACTTTGTTTTGCTAATCTACTCCACCTGGTCCCTTCTTCCCTTATAAAAAACCCCCATAAAGCCTAAGATATATTATTAAACTAGTGTTTTCTTAATTGAATTGGAACTAATGTGCTAATCACACTTATTGAATTAAATTATGTCTTTAAAGCCCACTAGCCAGAAAAGTTGTGAAATCTCTCATGATTCTAATTGCTGTAAACTAAGTTGACTTTAAAGAAATGTTTTCACAGATTTGCCAGTCTGACTAATCTTGATAAAATAATATCAAAGGAGTTATGACAAAGGCTGTACATTTTCACTGTGGAGCTGTAAGCTTGAAAGATATTTAATTATTTTAGTTTTAGTCGGAGGTTTTTGTGATTGAATTTTCATCAAACCGATTGGACCATTTATATCCTAAATGTATATTTGGGGTTTTCACTTTGGAAGAATTGGGCATATTTCAAAAGATTGCAGTTTTAGAAAAAGACCAAGTGTTTCAGTAAGGTTTTCATGATATTTTAGTTACTTAAAAGAAGGTAAAGGCATGGTTTACTGAAGTAATTTAAAATCTTATTTTCAAGATTTTTATTATTTTTCTAATAGCCATATAATTAGAATATTGTTATCTAACCAAATGTATTCTGTACCATATACAAAACTGTACTTTAAAAGGTAGATCTTTTATAGGAGGTAGTTTTCTTAATAGCCTATTATAGTTATTGTTAAACTTTTAGTTTTATCATATGCTAATACTCATTTGTAATTGCTAATATTCACCTATAATTTTAAATAATTATTTGCCCCAAATATTAATGTTTCCTAAATCTAAAGGGTGAAGTCCCTATAAAAATAGCTGTATTATATGGGTGGTAAATTTAGAGAAATGGAAGACCTGTGAAATATATAAATGAAAACCACACATTTTGAATTCAAACCTGCCATGATTTTTGTTAATTAGCATTTGTGGTCTCCTGGCATGACTTTCCCCTTTTTTCCTCCTGGTGGTTAGGCATGATAGAGCTTCCTACAAATTGTTGTTCCAGACAATTAAAGTCAGATTTTTGCTACCTTCAACTAGGTTTTTAACTGTAGGGATAGAGTCCCAGTTTAAAGTATTAGTATAAAATTAATTTTTCCATATAGTAACTGGATAAAGACACATTAGGCACAAATTATGTACAGAAAGGTTTAGAATTAAAGGGACATAAAGAAAGACTGAAAAATCTGATTAAATATTGGTAACTTAAATATTGCTAAGGTAAATTTTGTAACTTGAGTTGACTGTTTTGAATTTACTACATATTTGAGCTTTTGTTAAGTTAACATCAAAGTAAAGTCATCAAATCTGGAACATTTTTGTTTCAAAGTTATTTTTTAAATTCTGAAAAATGAAATGTTTCATCCCTAAAATACTCTAAAGGTCAGAAAGGTTAAATATATATATTATTTTCTTTATTGTATTTGGCTACAGATTATTTCTTTTGTCACTATAGTTGGGAAAAAATGTTTTATTTAAATTGCGCTTGGAAGGAAATTTGAGAATATCTACAAGAGAAAAAAGTGATAATGATTTAAAAAATGATTTTCTCTTTTCTTCTCATTAGTTTCTGTCACTTGCATATTCAGGGCTTGGTCACCTGTTTGTCTGTCATGGGAGAAAGGGGTACATTATAATTTAAATATTATGACTTAAAAACATGTTAAACTTTTGGATGTAGGACAAATCAAGGGTAGTTATTCTGTAGTAATCTTTTGAAATAACACTCTTAATACTTTAAATTTTAAAATGTTTATTAGACATGTGGAAATGCTTTTTGGTCGCTAGGAGAGACTATAAACATTAGAAACATGGATCAGACAGTAAGATTACATATCTTGTTTTTAAAAAGTCATTCTCATTAAAAGGTCTTAATTTCTTATTTTAGTCTTTAGCATGAACTTACCTTTTCAACACAGGGAAAGATAGAGGTATTTGACACTGATATATAATTTTTTGTGTTTTCTGATTATTAGTACAGTCTCTTAATGTGAAATTATTCAAACTTCTATTCATTCTTCAAGACAGCTCAGATGTTCCCTCTGAAGCATTCTCTTCACCCAAGGAATGTTGTTTCCTTAGCACTTTTTGGTGTTTTTCTGTATAGGCACTACACACATTCAATTTATGTTTACTCATCTTTCCCATAAGACTGAGTTCCTCAAGGGCAAGAACTAAATATTTTTTGAATTAATTAATGAGCAGACCTTTCTATGCCTTTTCTACCATGATTTAAATTTTATCCTGTCTTATGTCAGAGATGCAGGATCATATAATTTATGCAACAAATTGAAAAGAAATGAATAAGATTTGCTTTTTGTACCTCTTTTACCTCACCATTCCTTGAGATGAGTTGATACTGACCTTCTAAATATAGTGCCTGTTATACGGTAGGCCCTCAAATATTTATTAAAGAGAAATGAGAATTACCTATAAAATAAGAGTTATATTCATTTTGCCTATTTTCGAGGATGGTAGCATCAGCTAAATACATTAACTGTGAAATACTAAATTACAAGTTTTAATTTTATTTAGGGTGTACCTACACAAAGAGTCAAATAATTTACATGGTTATCAAAACAAAAACTTCCTGCCCCCTTCCTTTCCATTTTCCCTTTTCCAGAAGCAATCACTTTCACCTTTTTTAAGTTATTATTGTGATAATACCTTGTAGTCTCCAAATAACTTGTATTGGTTACAAGCATGGACTCTGGAATTAGACTGCTTAGGTTTGTCAATTACTAGTTTTATGTAATGTTGGACTACTTAAACTCTGTGTCTCAATTTACTCATTTTAAAAAATAGGGATTAGTTGTACCTAATTCGTAGGTTTGTTATAAGAATTAAAGGAATTTGGAAAGCCCTTAGAACTGTGTCTAACTCATATGCCCTACATAAGTATCTATATATATAATCTCTATATATAAAAGGCTAATATGCAGTGTCCCCTAGGGAGTTTGACCAGGAGAATGGGAGTTCGATCGCTCGCTATGATGTGCGCTGACCACCAGGGGGTGGCGCGGAACATGGCAGGCAACCAGTGGCAGGGTGCTGAGGGAGCCAGGGAAGGAGGAGGCAGGGAGGTGGCGGGGGTGGGGAACATGATTGGTCCTCATCACAGGCCAGGCCTAGGGACCCTATCCGTGCATGAATTTCGTGCACCGGGCCTCTAGTGTGTTAAATAAAATAGTTCTTTTGTTTTTGGTCTTATTAGCTTCTTGGGTAGAAAATGAAGATTTAACTTTGTTGTCATCATGTACTTAGCAGTATTCCTTCCTCTTAATAGTTATGATATTATATCACTGTTGATTATTCAGTATTCTTGTAAAACATGATTACTTTTCCTGTCCTGTACAATGTCCTGAACTTGCCTGCCTTCTTTCATCCCACCCCACCTGTCTAATAAATATAGTATACTAGTATATGTAGTATATATATTTCTATATACTCTTCAGCATATAGAACTGTTTGTGAGTCTTTCCCCCCCTCCCCTCACCACCAAGTTTTCCTGTATCAGCATAATCTGTTTCCTTCAAGTGCCTTTTGCCCATTTTTATATGTTTTGGGCTTCACCTTTTATGATAGAGCCTTTTATTAGGTGTCCAATAATTCTTGGTTGTCTGCTTGTACTTAAGTGTAGGAGACTAAAGAGTTGATAAGGAATTCTTAGTTACATATCTGTATATCAGTAGTTATGACTAGTTCAACTTTCCATCAGATGTCTTTCAAGATGTTCGGACATATCAGGTGTTGTTATCAGTTTTACCTTCCTGAGGAAGTCTCTCAAATCCCTCTGACCTCCATTATGGACTGATCGCCCTCTAGACTTGGTACCCAACTTTTATCATGGGATTCTCTTCATTTTCTTCTGTGGTTGGATCTCTGTTTTTCCAGTGACCCATGTCATGTTTATTTTTGGTTTACTTCATGTTTTAAAATCGCTTTAGTTTACTCTAACACTTATTTGATTCTTTGGTTAGGTAAAGAATACCAGATGGGAAATTGTGTTATTTTATAATTTTGTTCCGTTGATATTTAGCTTCCAAATTGCTTTTGAGGAGTTTGAAGCCATTTTGATTCCTTCTATATAGTGTGTGACCTGTGTGTATGTCAGTGATGGCGAACCTATGACACGCGTGTCAGAGGTGACATGCGAACTCATTTTTTTGGTTGATTTTTCT